GGCACCCTGCTTGCCTGGTGCTCTGATGGTGAACTTCTGAGTCAGACACAGCTGAAGATATTCTGGACTTTAAAGTGTTACTCCCATGATTTTGCTCACTCAACCATGTAAGTGTGAGACTGGCTGCTCACCAGACTGCCCAGTTCCTCTCCTCACACAACCCTGGCAAGCCTTTGTAAGGTTTCTCAAACGTGGAAATAAACCTACCCTCACAGCTGGCCATCTCTACGAAACCTGTACCTATTGTTCCACCTGGACTGCCTTGAAGTCTGCCTCATCTCCAAGAGGCTGAGTGTGGCTGTTCCTTATAAAATACAGCAGTTCCCACGTTCTCTGGTTCAAGATTTGCAGTCTCCTGAACTCAAAGAAACTGGTTTCATGAGAAAAAACCCAAGCCCTGAGCTATTCAAAGCTGCCAGCTGCACACTTAGGAGAGCTCAGTGTTTGTTAGGCTTTGGCTGTTGTGAAGATGAGGAAGAGGGCACTGAGCAACCCAAAGAGTGTTGGTCTGAAGTGGAAGGTTTCCAGGTAAACAAAACACAGTGCTCCAACCCAAGTGCAAACAACAATTTTTAAGCCACCAATGAAAACGAAGCTTATTCTTTTAAGCTTGTTCTTTTGTTTACTTGTTCCTTAGACAGACACAGTTCATCTCCAGAGCACCACAGTACATCTCCAGGTAGGTGAGAGCATCACGAGCTCTTGGCTCAGTTTTCCTTTCCAGGGTTTTTCTGCTGTTCAGCTGGAGTTAGATTAAGTCTCCAGGATCTCCCCTCTTAAAAGAAGGCAGCAAATCCCTTTTGGAGAAGCAAACTGTGGTAGCCTGCTCAGAACAAGACTTGTTGCCTTAACTCACTATGGCCATCCAGTCTTTGAAACCTTCAAGAACACACAAAAATATCAGAAACCATCGACAACACAGCACAAAAGTCACCTCAGGGTCAGGTGTCCAAGTTCACCAGCTTTCTAATTCCCCACTGCATGCAGCACTCTTCACAAGGACAAGGCCAGTTTGTTACTCACCTCCTAGTTCTCTGCTGAGCAATGTCTTTTCCTGACTTGTTTTACTCTGGATGATTAAGTTTTGTTATCTGAGATTATATTTTACAGCTTTCTGGGAGAACAAATCACACATTCATTCAGAATGGCCCAGAAACACATTGGACCCTTTCCTTGAATTTTGATTTATTTGCATTTGAGCATCCTAATTCTACATCTGAGGCCAAACTCATTACAAGCAAACACTTAATTTAGACATTTGTGAAAGCTGGACCTCAAAGTGCTACCATATCTTTTCCACTTAAAAAGGGCAGAATTCATGCTGGTGTAAAGCAAATGAATGTGGTTTTGCACTGTATGAGCATGTTTCCTCTGAAAGAGATTTTGACTCCTTGAAAACAGCAAATGCTGGTGCCTGACTTAGTAAGAACAGCACTTATGGCAACAAGGGGATAAAAAGTAGAGAAAGTTCAGCAAATTTCAAATAACAAAAAAAAAACCCCTACTCACCTTTGCCACAAACATGAAAATTCTGGTCATATGTTTCCTTTCAGTTGTGTTGGGGTCAGAGATGCAAGGTACATGCCTTTATCTGTGGTGCCTGGCTCTGACACCCAAGAGAGCACTGAATTTCACATAACACCATGGAGACAGCTCTTAAAGTAGAGAAATTGGGAATGTGAGAGGGTAAACTACATAGAGTGTTCTTAAGTCACTGGGTGAGAAAGTTAAAAGTTTAAGCTATTTTAGAAAATAAGAGACAAAATGGAGAACTTAGGGTGTTGTCCCTTTCTCCTTCTTCTTCCTTCATCTTCTTCTCCTAAGAGTTTTTGGGTAGTAACGAGTGATTGGATAGAAGATACCCCAGTGCAGCACACAGGTGTGGGGTCATTGGGTCACTAAGAAAAATAATTTACTTGGCATTTGTTAATTGGATAAACAGACATAGAAAAGACCTTGAAGAAGGTCTTTGTTAGCCATTTTGCACCTCTCTATCTTAGTGTATGTGTCTCCTTGTAGCCTGTATACATGTAATATAGATAAGAGAAGAATAAACAACCAAGTCTGAACACAAAAAAAACTGTCTCATCATTTCAGTCCTGAGGAAAAGAACCCAGCCACCAGTGTGGCATCCCAACAAGCTGGATTTTGGTTCCTCCAGCCACTATTCATTTGCTTACTGGAACACAATACTGGAAAACTGATAAAGTTGTTACGATTCCTGCCTCTAGGTAGCACAAAAAATATACACTCAGAGCATTTTAGTGGTTAATTTAAAAAAACCTAAAGGCCTTCTCCTTCCCATTGAAAACCTCAGAGCCCTGCAGCCACCTGGATCCCCAAAATACAGCATTTATCAAGCAGCAGTGCTGGGTGATAAAGGCACTGGAGCACAAAGGACTCTCTGAAATAATTCCTGTTGAGCATATTCATGTACAGCACCTGAGAAACTTCCAAAGCAACCACCAAGGACAGGGGGAAACAAGCCCTGATTTCTCAGCCAGCCTGGGACTGAGTCATTCAGAGCTTGCCCTCATTAAATATGCTCTATAGCATCTATCTACAGATGGAGGTTGTCCCCATTTAAGCCAAAAAGATGATTTATGTGCACACCAACAAATTGCTTGCTCACCTGTGAGTGGTGAACCCACATATGTAACAAAAAAACCCCAAATTGCCAACTTAGCAAACATGCAGTTGATGTATATAGAAATGCTGATTTTTTTTTGGTCTAGGTCTGAGGCATCAAGTGACACTAAGGGAAGTTCACAGAGCCACAAGGGAGTGAAGGCAGCACAAAATACTAAAATTCATTTTTAAGCTAAGTCTAGAGGATGCCTGTGGCAAGGAGATCAAAGCAACCCCATTTTGGCTGCAACATGGCACAGGAAAATTTCTTCAAAAGCCACTTGGAATTGTAGGATGCTTGCTCTCTGCTAATATTTATTTGCACTCTTAGGTTTCTTTCTGTGACTCCAGATTTATTTCAGCCTGTTGCTGAGTTGGAGGTAGACCACAGCTCTGAGAAGACAGAAGTTGCAAAGCCCTTGAAACCTCCCAATTCCAAAATGTGTTTCCCAAATGCTGTAATCACATTGCCCTCATTTCCTCTGACACACAATTTTCTGAGGAAGTTTATCTATACTTTGTTTTGGGTTCTGCTTTTATTTTTCTTTTTTCAAATCCCATTTTTAAATGAGACAGGAAGAAAATTGCAGGTTTTTTCTTCTCCTACTCCTTTGGTACAAATGCTGATACTACTTTTTCTCCAGAGAGATGAAATTACCTCAAAAGCCAGGTTGCAATTTGAAAGCTGTCACTTAGAGCTGGGTTTATTGCTGTATTTTTCTGCAAAGGGTTGCAGTGTTTCACACTTCAGCCAGAGAGGTTCTAGAAAGCCTTGGAAGCTCATCTCAAGAAAAGCTTGTTTTGGCTGCTCACAGGGTTTGCTGCTCCATGCACCTCAGCCCTCTCATGGATAAAGGTTTTTCCAGCTTGCAGGTATGAATCACACACCTGAAGTGGCTGAAACTGGCACATTTCCCTTAAATAGCTCAACAGCTGCGAGTGTGGAAGTAGCTAAACCTCTGAGTGCTTCACTACTCATCTCCAGTATGCAAATGCAGCAGGAACTGGGGGAAGAAACCCTATTTTTATTACAACCTCCTCTACAACTTTCCACTTCCCAGCTCCTTCCCAGCTCAAGGAATAATTGGAAATTTGGAGGTAGCCACCACAAGCTCACAGAAGCTCCCACCTGCATTTAGCAGGTAAAGGCCAGGCTGAACCCCCTGACTTCAGAGAGGAATTGCTCCCCACCCTATTGTGACTACTGACTGGAAACAGCTGAGGATTTGAATCTTTACACTTTTTCCACCTTCACTTGCCTATGTAAGTAGGCACAGAGTTTATTCTGAGACAGGAAAAAAAAAAAAAGAAAAAAAAAAAAGAGAAGAAAAGAAGGATGTGGTTGGTTATGCCACTTAGAAAACTCGTAAAGCACAGTCTCTAAGAAAATGCTTTCATGCTCTGTAGATGAACCTGGACTGAAGCAATGCTGCTGATCTGCTTGCTGGAGTTCAGGTAAAGTAACTCCTAATTTTAGTTGTTGACTTCTATTTTTGCAACAATTTAATAGCAGCATTGATTGTAGACACTGTTTTTAAGCTGGTTAAATGATTGTTCAAACAATAATAGTGCTGTTTAGTTTAGAGCAGAAAGAAATAATTCTGCTTTAGTGATAAATATAAATCTATTCTGCTGTAATCAAAATACTTAGATAAAACATGGTAAGAAATGATCCAGTTACAGATGAAATACATGGCAGGAGTGGGACCTGCTGCTCATCACTGCACTGAGCTCCAGTACATCCCCAAGAGAATAACTTACCTCTAAGATGAATAATGTTCTAGGAAATAGATATAAACAAAGGATGATTTTGCTAATGAAGCTCTCATGGATGTTACCTTAGTGTAACATCTCTGTGCTCCCATACAGATTTGTGTGAGTCCCAGCTAGAGCCAGATGAACTCAGAGCCAAGCTGCAAAGAGAAAACCATTCATGAATTCTGCTGTACTGCAAAAACGCCTAGTGGAGCTATTACTGTAAAACCTGTTCATTTCCTAGGTCAGAATACCTTTGCTGCTCACTAAACCACAAGCTCCCGCTATGGGAAAACCCAATTAATGTTTAATGAGTTTAAAGGAAGTAGAAAATCCTCAGCAGGAGAAGCTGAGAGCAAATGGAGCAGCATTGACACAGAGGCTGGACCAGCTAAGACACTCTCTTCTGTACTGTTAATTACAGGTTCTTATGTTATCTTTTGGTTTCTAGGAGTTGTCTGAAACAATCCTAAAGCCACAGGAGATTCCTTCAAAAAACCTGTTGAAGACAGAGAAAATTTCCTCAGAAGACTGGAAAAGGACAAACGTGGTACCTCTCTCAGGAACGTGGAAAAGAAGGAGTTGGAAAAACTAGATCTGTGATCCCGGTTTTAGCATTTGAAAGAAATACTGCAATCAGCCACCAAAGAATCTGTTTTCAATCGGTAAGTAAAAATCTGCAGAGATTAATCTGAGTATGACTGAAATAGAAGCAATTTGACTTCCTCTGTGACCCTGCCAGCACAGGGGGTGTAGGAGGGGGAAACAGGCTTCACACACTACCTCTAAAGAAATTCTCATAAGCAAAGGAAACATGAGCAGTATGAAACCTCTGCATGATGAGTGAGTACCCACCGAGATTCTAATCAGTGCCTGCTCTGTAGGAAAGGTGTCTCTGGTACACTGCAGTATCTTTCAGGATGAGCATCATCAGTATTTTTACTAATAATATGGACAGTGCAGTAAAGAGGATGCTTATGAAATGACTGCAAGGTTATTTGTCAATGAAAATGATTCTTCAAGTGAACTCTGAGCAAACATTACTTAGTCTGGAGCAGTTGCAAACAATTCCCATGGATTGCTCAAGATGTAGATTTTAAATTTGTGACTCGAAAATTATTAAAAAAACACCATATTTTTGACAATCAGTTTTCAATGTAAAGGTTTTTTTTCCTGAAGTTAATAATTTTCTGGAGCAATTTGGTACCAATGAATTCTAAGGAAAAGGCATTCAGTGAGCTAGAGATACAATAAAAGTGGCACCAAACCTCAGACATTCAAGAGTCATCAAGCACAATTTTCTGATACATTTACAGAGTACACAAAGTGCTGGATTGCCAGGTGCTGTCGCTACCCCAAAATGTTTCATGTCACTGTTTTTTTCCCCATGTAGATGGGTGCCCACGGCCAGAGGACACCCATGCTCACAATAAAACTCGTGTTCCCCTGTCCCTTCCCCTTGGTGACAGCAGCACCTGCCCAGGGTGACCCCTTGGACACCCAGCACCAGCTCAGCTCCATGTTTCCTCTGGGTTTCTCACTTCTCACACACCACAAACACGTGATTTTCTAAGTAGCTGCCACACATTGCTGGCTCAAATGGATTGATTTAACCTCATCTTGATGACCAAATCAAATTTTTCACTTTGCTCTCCTTTCTGACAGATACATCCAGCTTTCCTTTTGCTGTTTCCTCAGCTGACAGTGCTGTGACAGCCTGGCTCAGGTGGCTCTGTCCTGGTCTCTGCAGGTGCCAGTGGCACCCAGGGTCACCCTCATTCCTACAGTGGGGTCACACAGCCAAGGACAGTCTTGGAGCTCTGCATGCCCTCAGAAACCCCCATCCTCATCAGCTTTCAGGCAAACATTTCCTACTGAACAGCCCTTCTTCTAAACCCTGCTTTTTCCTAGTGCTATTCATTGTTTCTAGTACTCTTTGCTGAAATGCAAGTTCCTGAAATCCTCAGCCTTTCCCTTATATGAAAAGCAGATACTTCATCAAAGGTAAGGGTCTGGTAAAAGCTCTCAAAGACTTATTTAGCAGTTTTCTTTAAAAATCTGTGTGAAGCTTAGGCTCGACTCTTACAGAATTTCTTTAATCACATTTGACACTCTTTCATTCAACAGATTAGATTGAACCTTTTCCAGCCACACTAATAACATCCAAACTTCACAACAATTACTGGGCTGGCCCTTCAGCTTTATATTCCTGTTCTTTCTGTAGTCTGAGCTGGAAAATAACTGATTTAATAAAATGATTTACTGATAGGAGCAGGTTCAGCTCTGAGTGCATTCTGTGGCCAGTTATTCCCATTATCACTCTCTGATTCCCATAAGCCATCCCATCTATGACCTCCAGCACAATGTCAGTGTTCCTATGAAGTTAGTTGTATAAGAGTTGGCAAAATGCAAGGCTAGTTCCTCAGCTGTTCTCTGTTTCTCTATTTTAAAAATATTTTATTTTATCCAAGCAAAAAAAAAAATTAAAAAGAAATCTTTCACTAGTTGGTTTTGATTTCTTTAGCAAAGTTTGGCTCCATTTGGCAGCGCTTAAGAGCTGTCACTTTTCATCCTCCAAAGCAAAGATTCTCCTTTTGATCAAACTCTTCTTAAAACATCTTCACTTACTTCTAAAATTTCTTTTGAGCTGCTTGGTTGGCTGAACAGGACTGAGAACTTCAACTACCAAGTTCTGCTTTATTAGGGCTTTTTGTAGTTTTGATTTAAAGAGGTTATAAAAAGCACTTTTAAGGCATAGTTTATTAAAGCATGTGTATATTTTTAAGAACAGTGATAACATTAAAGACAAATTAATTTCGTTTCAGAACTGCATTATAAAGATGCTTCTACTTGCTAATATTTGCTGGATTATCTAAAATAATCAGTTAAAATTTAAAGTGCAAACCCCAAATTTAAACAAGGCTGAAAATTAATCACAAGTGAAAAAACACACTTACTCATTTTACACCGAGATGAAAGATCAGTCTTCTTAAGTTGACCTTTTAAAATATTGCATTGGATATAAACACTGTATGAAACGAAAATATCGTATAAATGTGCTTACAGCAAAAGCACATCAGCAAAAACTACTGATGCATGGGGTTTTGGGTATAAGAGTGAAAACTCAGCTATCAGATCAACATACCTTAATATGGAATAATAATTTCATCATTGTTGTGTAGCAACAAAACTAAGCATAAATGTTAGGGAAATTTCCAAAGGTGTACAAATTATTAAAGATAGCCAGTAGTCTTTAGAGTTTTTGAAAATATGTGTTTGAAGTCTCTTCAATATCTGGATGGGATTATCTCACATGGGATGGTAACCAGTGGATGCTGGCTGCTTTCCCCTGAGAATCCCTGGGAACACACCAAGCCAGTCAAACTGGAAATGGAAAACTCTGTGCTTGAAAGGTTTCACTTTCCATCACAGACAGAGGCTGACCAAGTGTCCAGCTCAAACCCAAAAAAATCTCCAATTGTGTTTGGAAGTATCTTGGTTTGGCTTTATCGTGGCATTAACTGAGAGTCTCACACGTTTCCCACTCACTTTCTCTGTCATTTCAGGGCAGAAATGACCAACACCAGCGAGAATTGCAGTTTTACGGCCGTGGACAGCTTGGCATGGACGGTGCAGCTGGGGATCTCCATCCCCACCTTCATCCTCGGGCTGGTTCTCAACAGCCTGGCCCTGTCTGTGTTCTGCTGCTTTTGGAGGAAGCAGACCAAGACCTCTGTGTACATGATCAATCTGGCTCTGGCAGACGTCCTGCTGCTCCTCTCGCTGCCACCAAAGCTGTACTACTCTGTCACCACGGTGCCTGGCCTGCTCTGCTCCTTCATACAGGCTCCTTACTTCGTCAACACCTACACCAGCATCTTCATCATTGTCTGCATCACCGTGGACAGGTACATCTGCATCAGGCACCCCTTTGAAGGCCGAGCTAACCAATCCCCCAGGTGGGCTCTCTTGATTTGCTGCTTCATCTGGGCAGTGGCTTGGATCTGCAGCAGCCCAATTTACGTGTTTCACAAGAAGGAACCCATTAAATGCTTTCACAACATGTCAGCCCAGACGTGGAGCGTTCCCTTCATTGTTTCTGTGGAAATATTTGGGTTTCTGATCCCACTCGCAGTGATGGTTTTCTGCTCTGCTCAAACCATCTGGATTCTTCTGAATCACAAAACTCACGACAAAAAGAGTGTGGAAGAAAGCGGCTCCCTGCGGGTGATCGTGATCAACCTCGTGGTGTTCCTGGTGTGCTTCACACCCGTCCACCTCGGGATCTGCCTGCAGTGCCTGGTGAAGCAGCAGGTGATCGTGGGCTGCACAATGAGGCAGACCATCAGCCTGTTCCTCCAGGTGTCCATGACGTTTGCCAACCTGAACTGCTGCCTCGATGCCATCTTCTACTATTTTGCTGCAAAGGAATTCTGTAAGAAAGCACAGCTGAAAAGGGTCATTGAGCTGTGTCCTGTCTTTAACCCCTGTGCCATGCGCTGGCACTGCCGGCACTGGGAGAGCTCCCCTTGCCAGGACACCGATGGTGCCACGCCTGGCACGGCCACAGGGAGAAGGACAATGTGTTCCCAGTGAATGCAAACCTCTTCCATATTTTTCTTCCCTTTAAAGATGAAGGGGAAAGAAGTTAGATTAATGAGCCAGCATTAACAAAGTGACAGACTGACACCAAAAGCATTAGCCTTGACAGTATTTAGAAAATGTGAAAAGCTTGCCAGAGGGAAAGTAACCAGATCACAGGAATGCCTTTTAACATCAGCTTTTGTCACAGCTGCACCAGTTTTCCTTTTACATCCGTGATCAGAAAGGTGCTGCTAAGAGCAAATACAGAAAAAAACTATTCATAACCTTTCTGACTTAGAAGGTATCTTGGGAGTTAAAAAGCAGCATCCAGCCAGAAGTCTGACCCTGCAGAAGGTCAGTGTTGGAGCTCTCTGCTTTGGACAGCTTGGCCAGCCTGGGACAGCAGGGAATCCTCCCTCCTGCAAGCTTCACACACTGCTCAGGGCTGCTGTGAGGGACAGCAGGTTTTGCTCTTGCATGGAAGACATGCTGCCCAGAATAAAAATCCAGGGGATTACCTCGGGTACCAGCCATTCTTGATCAACAAACTTTCCTGATTCCCTGTGCTGAGGAGTCACCGTGGCTTTCTCCTGCAATTTTATAAAGGGTTTTGCCTGTGGATATCCAAACAACCCATTCAAATAGGAGACTCAGAGAAAGACTGAATGTGTTTAACTGTGTTTCTACATCAGTGCATTTCTATCAAAGATATAACACATGTATGAAATTCTCACTGTTTCTCAGAACAGAGGAATTAAGAAAGCAAGCCCTGCATCACAAATCAGGGAGTGATTGATATTCTCCTCTCTCCCAGCTCTCTCCAGCTCATTCCTTAGGGGAGCCCTTCTGCCTGTACTGTGCATTTCTCTAAACACCTCTGGGCTTGCCTGAACCCTTTGGGTCAGCGATTCTGGGTTGTCACCACAATAATGCCATTTGCAAGTTTGGCTCTGACTCTAATCTAAAGGTTTTTTTGTTGCAATTTAAGACAAGCATTTCTTGAACCCTTATCTGGGCATGGTTGGTGCTCATAACCAGAATCGCTTTCACAAAAATAAATCATTTCCTTTGCCTTTCTAAAACAGCTGTGAAAAAAGTCAAAGACTGCTGGGAGTCAGGTTTCTGGGGCAGGTATTCCTTTTATTAAAAATGTAAAAAGAAATTACTCTCTGTAGCGAAATAAAAAGAAAGGGATCTGGTTTTGAAAATACAATTTGCTGTCCAGCAATTTCCATAGAAAAGATTGACTGTACAAGTAGGCAGCAGCACATACCTTACAGTGGACCTAATATATGAACATTTTAAAACTTGTAAGTACTAAAACTATGAGCACAGCTGAGGGGGAAAATATTTGTATCATCACCTTTGCTGCTTTCTGTAAAAGGAGCAAGAGGAAGAGTTTTCCAAAACTGCAGATTTTCTAAACATTATTTGTTACTGCCTCAATCACTCAGAAATTTATAGATTTTCAATAGGGGTTAACCTTTCTTCTTTGCACCTTTCACATTACTTTGCAAGCAAAATATGTGTGTGAGAAAGAAGTAGTTTTACTAAAGTTTTACTAAATTAACTGTACATATGAAGTGTGCATACTTGAAAATACATTTTAATTTGACAGCAGTATGCAATTCTTCCCTACCTGCACTAGCTGCCTAAAAATTACTTGGCAGTGGCAACTGTGCCCCACCATACAAGGCTGGGATTATTAAAGTCAGGGTTAATTAAGCTGCAATAATGGGCAGGGGTGGGAGCCACTGCTCTCAAGGCTCAATCTGCCCCTGGCTGCAAACCCAGACTACAAAATCTGGAAGTTAAACTGGACTATTTTCTTCCCATTTATTGCCACCAGTGCCACTTCTTTGTTGGTTTAAAGTGTTTTTATGTATCATTTCATTTGTCTAAATTTTGCCTGTTGTATAAGTAAATGAGAGCAGCCTCGCTAAGCATGCTTGAAATTTGAGAAATGAAATGAAATGCAAATGAAATTAAGAGAAAGAAGGAAGAGAGCCCAGCTGTGATGATTTTACAGGCTGCTACAGTAGTCCTATTTTTTAGCACAAAAAAGCACAGGTATTTTAAGCAAGATGGTGTCACTTTCAATTCAGAGCTTTTCAAGATGAACTTACATTCAAATAAGACACTTAAGTCGTGCCTTTGACCAGCAGCTAAGAATACAGTTCTTTTTAAAGCAGGATTTTACACACATGCTCCTGTGGGAAATCCACTGTTAACTCTGGAGCATCTCCAGTGGGTTGTATTTTTACACCAGGACAAAGAGACAGAAATCCTTCGGCAGCCTGAGAAGGGACACAGCGATTTTGATGATGAACAAAACCGAAAAGCACTTGACATTTTAAAAACCCAAATCTTCCTGAGCTGATACACAGGTTCAGGGCAAGAGAAGCAGTTTCTTCTCTCTTGATATTATTCTTAATACACAGAAAAGTTATGGGAACCTGAGTGTGAACCCCTCACGTACTCAGGTCTCCTCCCACTGCCTCAGCTGTACTATAAAGTCACAGAAGCACTCTCTTAATGGAAAAAAAAAATTTTAAAAAATCAAGTGCTAACCAGAAACACTAAAAACAATGCCTTTAAAAATTGTATTTTCAGTTGTGCCCTCTTCTGTGAATTGAACAAAACCACAATTGCACAATGAACCACGGACCTTACAAGGAAGCTGTGTTTAACATTCATTTTTCTGGACACGGCCATTTCAGGCCACAGGTGAGAATTTTCTCAAAACAAAAGTTTTGGTTTTATCCAATTGAACTTTTCCAACTGGGCCAAACCACACAGCTCTTCACAACATATAAGAGAGCTGATTTTTCCTGAGGGCATTTTTATCAATGGCAGATTACTCCAACATTCTACAATTAGCATTTGTTCAACCATCAGTGTGATTCACCAAGCTGTATTTTATAGACTCACAAAACTGAAAGTCAGAAGAGCATAAAAGTAATTTGGAAAAAAAGGGGAAATAAACCCAACTCCCAATTAAAACAAACAAACAAACAAAAACTCCCAGCAGACAAAACCACACGGGATTTGTTCTCCAAATTCTTTTCCTGCCCCTTTGCCTGGTGGGTTACATCATCTTCATTTTCATGCTTGAGCACAGAACCCAGTGACACTGCACTAATTTCTAATGCTATAAAAGGACCATCAAAATAATGCTGGACTTTTTGAAAAGTTCTGTTGCCCAAGAAGTCCCTTCTGAAAGAATTTCAACAAAAACGACTCAAAAAAAAAAAAAATTCAACTGTTTAATAGCAAGTAGAGGATCTAATATATGAACTTTTTCTAGCCTTCATAATACTGCTTTTATGATGCATGATTTATGATCTTGAAGGCACCTGAGGGAAGGTCCAACCTAGATCCAAGCACTGTTAGTCTCCTGTCTTCTCACAAAGGGCTACAGTGAGCACAGATAGGCATGGGACCTGTAGTGTCAGTCCAGCATCTTCTCACTGTGAATAAATACATTGGTTAAAAATATAAACCAGACAGTTTTTCATGTGAGGATGAACAACCACAAAGAAAGGCTTCTAAATGTCACTCTAGTAGTTTGTCATGTCAAGTAATTTCAAGTGTTCAGGAAACTTCAAAGTGAGAAGAGCAGCCATCTCACAGCCTGAGGCGGCCTCTAGATCACAAAATGAAGCTGAAATGGGCTGGAAGATGGAAACTGATCTTCAGAGAGACATCATCCCAAACCTCACAGGTATTTCACTCAGGTTATTCTGCAGCACCACAACTCAGCCTGGCTCAAACACACGCAAACGAGAGACAAACAGAGGCTACTCCAAGGTACAGACTTCTGTCTGTCTCACAAAAGTGCTTTTGCTGAGGTTTCCCTGCCCCACATTCAGAACACTTTCCACTTTAGACTAATTGTTTTTCTCTGTGTTTTGGGCACGCTCTCCATCCTTCCACCCAAACTCAAGGAGAGGAGCTGTGCACAGGCAGTGGCTGCACTGCCCACTCCTCTGAGGAGCTGGCAAGCCCAGCAGGGGTGAGCAGATGCCACCCAGCTCCTGAGGTGGCTGTCACCTGCCCTGGGAGCCTGCAGGGACCTCCTCAGCACCACAGTGCCAAATAACAGCAGCTGGAACAATCCCTTTATGGAGCCAGGGGGATGGAGAGAGTTTGGCTGCCACACACCAAAAAGTTTCCCAAGGATTTCCCAAGGAAATGTCTTCACAAAGAAGGGCAGAAATGTGCCTGCCCTGAGCAAACTGAAAAGAAACCTGCCTGTTATTTACACAACAGCACAAATGGGAAAGCTGGCTTGGCTGGGTTTATTAGTGTGCTCACTAAAGATGTGGAGAAACACAAACTCCACACACACTGCTCTGGCTGCTCTCCTGGCACTGCCAAAATACAGAGCCCAGAGAGAGGAGCCAAAGGCTCAGTTACCACAGGGGACAGCGACTTCTCTTGCTCTTCAGCTGCTGTGTGTGCAGGGGGAAGGAAGGCCAGAGGAAGAGGAGCAGAGGATGCTGCAGGACATCTGTGGTTGCACAGAGGGTGAGCTGAGCCTGCTGGCAGGGTAAGCATCTGCCTGGGCAGCCCCAGCTGGCTGCAGTCCAAAGCAGGTCCAAACCTGCTCCCAGAATAAAAATCATGTGAAGCACAGAAAACCCCTCTTGGACCCCTCTTTGGGTCTCTCCCCAGAGGTGTCCCCAAGCTGCTGCATGTACCTGCCCTGTACCCTCTGCCACTGCATCTCACATTGTGACTTCTGCAGCTGCTTTTGTAAACTCCTTTTGTAAACAGCTGAAACTATTTCTCCTGTAAAGGTGTGGGGGAAACAAGAAACCAAAACCCACCTAGATTTTTAAAGTTATACAACATTAGACTATGGAGACCATTTGGTGAAGGCTCCCGTGCTGCCTCTGAACACATAATTAAATGATTTTCTGTTGGCAAGAAAGCTATTTGCATTGGAAAATATGCTCCTAGGAACTGATTGCCACAAAATGGAACTATGTAATGAGCTTTCATGACTT